AGTCAGAGACCTTAGACTGAGCTCAGAATAAGATTTTTTTCAGAATGCAAAAATGAAAAAAAACATAAAAAATGATTTGTTTGTAGCTTATTGGACATTTATTGTAATTAATTTTACACCCCATTTCCAAGAAAGTTGGGATGCTGTGCAAAATGTAAATAAAAAATAAAAACAAAATGCAATGCTGTGCAAATCATTTAAACCCTATATTTCATTGAAAATAGTACAAAGACAATATTTCAGATGTTGAAACTGAGAAAGTTTATTGTTTATTAAAAAAATTATGTGCCCATCTTGAATTTGATGCCAACAAGACGTTCCAAAAAGTTGGGATGGGGGCAACAAAAGGCTGGTAAAGTTGCGTAATGCTAAAAAAACACCTAGTGGTTGATTGGCAACAGGTCAGTAACATGATTGGGTATAAAAGAGCATCTCAGAGAGGCGGAGTCTTTCAGAAGTAAAGATGAGGAGGGGTTCACCACTCTGTGAAAGACTGCACCATCAAATAGTGCAACGATTCAAGAATAACGTTTCTCAACGTAAAATAGCAAAGAACTTCTGCTTTTCATCATCTACAGTACAGAATATCATTAAAAGATTCAGGGAATCTGGAGAAATCTCTGTATGTAAGGGACAAGGCCAAAAACCAGTATTTGCTGGCCGTGATCTTTGGGCCCTCAGGCAGCACTGCATTAAAAACAGATATGTTTCTGTAGTGGAAATCACTGCATGGGCTCAGAAACACTTCTGAATAACACTGTCTGTGAAAACAGTTCATCACTGCATCCACAAATGCTAATTAAAACTCTAAAACGCAAAGAAGAAATCATATATAAACAGGATCCAGAAATGCTGCCACCTTCTCTGGGCCTGAGCCAGTATTCATGATGGTGTAGGGGTGCAACTTTTTTTGGAACGTGTTGTTGGCATTAAATATATTTAAAAAAAAGAACAATAAAATTTCTCAGTTTCAACATTTGATATGTTGTCTTTGTAGTATTTTCCTTTAAAAATATGGTTTATATGATTTGCACATCATTGCATTCTGTTTTTATTTACGTTCTGCACAGCGTCCCAACTTTTTTGGAAATGGGGTTGTACTTCTTTTCACTTGTCATTTGGCCAGCATTGCCCAAACTTTTGCATTCAACTGAAGCCACCTTTTCAGCCTACAGTTTATCTATTGATTACCCATATGCCAATAAGTAAATGGGTAATAATTCAAATGATAACAATTATGAATGCATACGCATTGGTTAACTACAATATAGTACGTGTAGTATAACTATAATACAATTATTAAGAGTCATAATCAATCATTGCAAACTATTATTAAGTTTCTGTTTATAAGGGTCTGTTATTATAAAGTGCTGCTCCTAAAAACATTCAAGAGAGAAAGAAAAAAGAAAGAAGAAGTGAAAAGGTTTATGTTCACAGAGTAACTGACAGCTATATTTGGACACACAATAACTTTTACTGTAGAAAACTGATAATTTTCAGAGAAAAACCCAGCAGTGCTATAACTTGAGTTGTGTTGATCTTATCATGAACGGTGCTCCAATCGCAGCGCGGCTGACGTCCTGCAGAAAAACGAGTTCGGTGCATCGATAAGGACGACTTGAAGGCCACCTTCATCAGCTTTAATAATTAACACCGCCATGGCAGGGCGTTCGCTCGGCCTTGAGAACAGGAGATAAAGCGTGTTGATGTTGATTTTCAGCGTGGAGGATCCTCTCTGAGAGCTGCTGAGAGCCAATGTGTTCAAATCAATAAAACCCACAAACACAGCGACTGAGGCTTCACTGTAAACAGGGCGTTCAAAGCGAGCCGTGCAGGTGAACGACGAACTACACAGCGCATGTTCAGCTGCACGACAGTTATTACAGCCTGTAAAGTTACACTTATTAACAAGTTACACTTGTTTATGGAGGATTAACGTATCCTTGACATTTGAATAGGTTTGTGTTTTATAGAAGGAAAGACACATATGACATACAGCATATGCTGATAGCAGCCAACGGCTCTCTTTTTCCATAGTTTACCAGTTTCACTCGCCATGGTAGCTCCTGTGTGTTTTTAACACAGTTTACACAGTTACTTAGTTAGTGCCCAGTTTTATCAGTCGGCCTTCACCATGGTTTATTACAGTACAACAGTTACCAGGGCCAAAATACTGGAAACTGGAACTGTACCGCTTCTTATTTCAGAGATAAAAACATTAGCCATTTTCATGATATTTTGGCCGCTGAAGTGAAATGTCCCTATTTTTCGTTTCAGAAGTTGGGTCATCTTAGTTTTACTGTTTGTTTTATATGAGTCAGGCAGCTATGCAACGTAACTGTACCTGATGATTACATACTCTGCAAAATATGTTGTAGCAAAAACTACTGAGTATTCAGCAGTGGGGTTACCTGTGTGCAGCTGCATTTAGCTATGAAGCTAGCATTGCTTTTAACATTGCAAAAATTATTATCTTAGCAAGTGTAAACATCTTAAATGTTGTGAATATTTCTAATATTTCTAGTTCTGTTGTAAGAATGTTGTGAGATTATTTAACTTATTTCTAGACATTTTTACTTGTTTTTAAGCAGTTTTATCTTATAAAAGTGTCTTATTTCATTGGCAGATCATGTTACTTGTTTTAAGCATTATTTCTTGAAATGAGCAAAATTATCTTCATTATTTCTCAAAACAAGTAAACTAATCTGCCAATGGAATAAGACACTTTTACCAGATAAAATCACTTAAAACAAGTAAAAATGTACAGAAACAGGTGGAATAATCTTATAATATTCTTACAACAGCCTCATAATGAGAGATATTAGATTTACTGACTACATTTAAGAAGTTTTCGCTTGTTAAGATGTTTTTTGCAGTGTATGGTACATGGTCTACAGCAGAGGGTATGCAGTATACATATACTTTTGCATTTGATATATATTGTTTCTGGTGTTGTGATCACTACATTCATATAAATACTTGCTCTAAAATTGATCTTTTATTTGTTTGGAGTGTGAATGAAGCATAAAGTGAAACTCAAGGGGACTCAACCTTGACCCTCTAATGCTGTACATGTCATCAGTCTAATAAAGGCCAAAGACTAAGTTCCAAAACACACCATAAATCTCTATAGCTTTGAATCTACATTAGTTGTTGCTGTGGCATTAATTAATTACTAATAAAGTGGCCAGTTGGTGGAAGCACAAGGTAGGTGTGTCTAATGAAGTGGCCAGTTAGTGGAAGCACAAGGTAGGTGTGTCTAATGAAGTGGCCAGTTAGTGGAAGCACAAGGTAGGTGTGTCTAATGAAGTGGCCAGTTAGTAGAAGCGAAAGGTGAATGTTTCTAATAAAGTGGCCAGTTAGTGGAAGAACAAGGTGAGTGTTTCTAATAAAGTGGCCAGTTAGTGGAAGAACAAGGTAGGTGTTTCTGATAAAGTGGCCAGTTAGTGGAAGCACAAGGTAGATGTTTCTAATAAAGTGACCAGTTAGTGGAAGCACAAGGTAGGTGTTTCCAATAAAGTGGCCAGTTAGTGGAAGAACAAGGTAGGTGTTTCTAATAAAGTGGCCAGTTAGTGGAAGCACAAGGTAGATGTTTCTAATAAAGTGACCAGCAAGTGGAAGAACAAGGTGGGTGTTTCCAATAAAGTGGCCAGTTAGTGGAAGCACAAGGTAGATGTTTCTAATAAAGTGGCCAGTTAGTGGAAGCACAAGGTGGGTGTTTCCAATAAAGTGGCCAGTTAGTGGAAGAACAAGGTAGGTGTTTCTAATATAGTGGCCAGTTAGTGGAAGCACAAGGTAGATGTTTCTAATAAAGTGGCCAGTTAGTGGAAGCACAAGGTAGATGTTTCTAATAAAGTGGCCAGTTAGTGGAAGCACAAGGTAGATGTTTCTAATAAAGTGGCCAGTGAGTGGAAGCACAAGGTGGGTGTTTCTACTAAGACCTATGGACCTTAGTTGTGTTTTCTCCTAAAGGTCACACAGGTAGTGCTGGAGAAAAGACACAGTTAGGCCTTGTTTTTGTTGCTTTCTGAAGGTCAGATTTCTCTTCATTTGAAAGCTCTAATGTGGAAACTGTAGCTGAGCTCATTATGCATCATCTCCATTCTGTCTGGATGTAATATTTTAACCATCTACTGAAGGACTGTAAAGTGCTGAACGTTATCACAGGTAACTGATACTCTTCTGCCGGTCACCTGGAGTTTATCTGAATGTAATTAATTCCACAGTAACAGTGTAGAAAGCTCTCGAGGTTTACGATGTGTTTTGGAACTTGGTCCTTGGCCTCCATTAGCCTGATGACATGTACAGCCTCAGAGGATCAAGGTTGCAGTGAGAGAATTTTATTGAGTCAGAATTTCACTCTAGTTTGAACACTGCCAAAAATAATATCTTAACAAGTAAAAACTTCTTAAATGTAGTCAATAAATCTAATATCTCTCATTATGAGTCTGTTGTAAGAATATTATAAGATTATTCCACCTGTTTCTACATTTTTACTTGTTTTAAGTGATTTTATCTGGTGAAAGTGTCTTATTCCATTGGCAGATTAGTTTACTTGTTTAGAGAAATAATGAAGATAATTTTGCTCATTTCAAGAAATAATGATTAAAACAAGCAACATGATCTGCCAATGAAATAAGACACTTTTATAAGATAAAACTGCTTAAAAACAAGTAAAAATGTCTAGAAATAAGTTAAATAATCTCACAATATTCTTACAACAGTCTCATAATGAGAAATAGTAGATATATTAACTACATTTAGGATGTTTATACTTAGAACGCTGGTTACCTGCAGTAGATCCAGACATGAACCACAGCACTAATCAACTGGTCACTCTTTACAGTCACTGAGAGTCGGTCAGGCTGTGTTAAAGCACAGCAGCACTACAGATCTCATATTCATCCTGTACAGGTTTAACGTGTTCAGTAGTCCGTCTGAACCGCGCGGCTGTATGAAGCAGGTAGATGAGCCTGCAGGCCTGGTGTGATGTGACCTGTATTAACCTCCTGTGCTGAGAGGAAATGCTGGACGATCAACAGTCACTCAGATTACAGCCTGGAGCTGTTGTGAAACCTGCACTCAGAGGAAGATTCCAGCCGAGATAAAACAAGAACAGAAATCAGACAGAACAGAGACACAAACACGACGCTAACCTGCAGCGCGGAGTGCAGTTTTGTAAAGGACGTAGCGCCAAAGAGAGAGAGGAGAAGAGAGAGCAAGTAAGATGGAGGAAAAGAGAGGGGGTAGAGAATGAGAGAGAAAGCGAGAAGAGTAAGAAAGAGAGAGAGAGAGAGAGAGAGAGAGAGAGAGAGAGAGAGAGAGAGAGAGAAAGAGAAGTGAGAAAGAGAAGGAGATAGAGCAATAAAGAGACAGAGAGAGAGAGTGAGATGGAGAAAAACAGAGAGCATAGTGGGTGAAGAAAGAGAAAGTGAGGTGAAAGAGAAGGAGAGACAGCTATTAAGAAAGAGAGAGATAAAGAGAGAGCGATGGAGAAAAGAAAAAAGAAACAAACAGAGAAATAGGGCGAGAGGAGAAAATAGAGAGAGAGAGTGATAGAGAGAATGTGTTAGAGAGAGAAAGTAGGGTGAGAAAGAGAAGGAGTGAGAGCAATAAAGAGGGAGAGAGAGCAAGCGAGATGGAGAAAAACAGAGAGTAGCGGGAAGAGAAAGTGAGGTGAGAGAAAAAGAGAGAAAGAGAAGTAGAGAGAGGGACAAAAAGAGAAAAACAGAGAAATAGGGTAAGAGGAGACATAGAGAGAGAGAGACGGTGACAGAGAGAATGTGTTAGAGAGAGAAAGTGAGTGAGAAAGAGAAGGAGAGATAAGCAGACAGTGATGGAGAGAGAAGACAAAGTGAGAGAGGATAGAGACGAAGAAGGGACAGAGAAAGACAGGTGTTTCTAATAAAGTGGCCAGTGAGTGGAAGCACAAGGTAGGTGTTTCTAATAAAGTGGCCAGATAGCAGAAGAACAAAGTGGTGTTTCTAATAAAGCGGCCAGTTAGTAGAAGCGCAAGGTGGGTGTTTCCAATAAAGTGGCCAGCAAGTGGAAGCACAAGGTGGGTGTTTCTACTAAAGTGGCCAGTTAGCGGATGAACAAGGTGGGTGTTTCTAATAAAGTGGCCAGTTAGTAGAAGTACAAGGTGGGTGTTTCTAATAAAGTGACCAAGAGATGGAGAGAAGCAGAGCATGATAGAGAGAAAAGACAAAGCGGGAAAGGAGAGAGATACAGCAAGAGAGACTGAGATAAAGAAAGAGAGTGGTAGAGTGAGTGAATGAGAGTGAGAGACAGCAACAGAGAGGAAGAAAGAGACAGAGATAGAGATCGACAGAAAGATAGAGCGATAAAGAGATAGAGAGATAGAGAGCGTGAATACTTCCTGAAGTCGTCGTGATTTGGTCGTGTGTGCGCTCTGCTCAGTGGCTGACCGTGGTCATTTCGGCTGTGAGGATTCTCTCTTTGACCTTGAAGCTCTTACAGTGCGCTCATTCACAGATACACTATCAGTCTATCAGCTGCACTGTTGTAACTGTACTGTCTCTAATCTGCAGTTATGATACACTTCCCGTTACTGCCCAAGCTGGACGATGAACAGAAGAAACGGGGCTAATTGCTGCAGTTCAGCTGGTGCAGCCTTTACTTAACAAAGGTCAGTCTGCACCACGCACATGAAAGTGATGTGCAAACGTGCAAAAATGTTGGGACGGCATGCAAAATGTAAATAAAAACAGAATGCAATAGTGTGCAATTCATTTAACCCTATATTTAATTGAAAGACAACATATCAAATGTTGAAACTGAGAAATTGTATTGTTTTTATAAGATCTATGCCTATTTTGAATTTGATGCCAACAATGTTTTAAAAACGTTGGGACAAATTCTGCAAAAAATAATATCTTAACAAGTAAAAACATATTAAATGTAATCAATAGGTCCAATATCTCTCATTATGAGACTGTTGTAAGAATATTCTAAGATTATTCCACCTGTTTCTGTACATTTTTACTTGTTTTAAGTGATTTTATCTGGTGAAAGTGTCTTATTCCATTGGCAGATTAGTTTACTTGTTTCGAGAAATAATGAAGGTAATTTTGCTCATTTCAAGAAGTATAGCTTAAAACAAGTAACATGATCTAACAATGAAATAAGACACTTTTATAAGATAAAACTGCTTAAAAACGAGTAAAATTGTCTAGAAATAAGTTAAATAATCTCACAATATTCTTACAACAGTCTCAGAATGAGACATATTAGATATATTGACTACATTTAGGATGTTTACACTCGCTAAGATGTCATTTTTGGCAGTGAAAGACTGCTAAAGCTGTGCTAAAAAACAACAAATTAGTGTAACTGGCAACAGGTCAGTAACATGATTGGATATAAAACAGCATCCCAGAGAGGCTGAGTCTCAGTGCATGTAGACTCTAACTCTGATTTCTTTCAGATTTCTCAGTCTGAGCACTGAGCGTGAAAACAGCACGTGGAAATAGGTGAGCAGCGACGCCACGAGACGCAGCAAAACACTTTTGGAGTGACGCTGAAACAAAATACATGCTTGACGAAATGAAGGATTTAAATACTCTTCATCGTCTAGATCATGTATGGTCATATTTTCAGGTAAAGTGGTGCAATGTTTTTTTTTTGTTTTTTTTTTAAAAAAGCCTCATCATGAAGTTCGAGTTTAACATTACATTTACGTCAAGTTTTCTTCTGTGAGTTTATTGGCAGGTTGTAAAGCAGAAATCCGATTACTGTCTGACTCACGTAGACCTGGAGTTTCCCATTATCTGATTTCTCAAGTGTATGTAAAAACGTTGATCGGATTACTGACAAAATCTGATTTTCTGCAGTTATCGGATTATTAAGTGCATGTAAACGCACTCATTGTTCTCTTGTTCCTCCTGGACATCTGAAAAAATCAGATCTGTGACCTGCTGAGCACTGAAACGTCCACTCATGTCCTCAGCAAAGACAGAACTGGGGGTGCTGTTATCCTCACCTTTATAGCCTCTGGCTTCATTCCCCATCAGTGAACAGTGCTTTCAAGAAATGTTTATTTGGTCTGAAATTCTTTTTTATTTTGTCTGTGAACTTGGGTCATGTGTGGGGTTGTGGAGGGGAGATGCTGCACATGCATACAAACGTTTTAGTTTTGTCTGAGTTCAATCAATACCACAGAATCTCAGCTTCTCATTTTGTGTCTTTGTGTTTTTTTTATAACTGCCGGGTCAAAAATGACCCAAGGACGATCTTTATGCCCTGGTGGTGCCCAGCTGTCATGGAAGTAGGTGATGAAGAAAGCAGTGATTCACTTTTTCCAGTGTTGTGGTCACTGTGGGAGAAGTCATCAACTTTCACATTGAAAAAAGATCAGTCAGGGGTTTTTTCTGCTATTAAACATAGTGGTGAGTCATTTTTGACCCTTAGGACATCACAAGGGCTAGCAGGAAAAATGTGACCCCTAACAACCACCTGGAAGAGCTGGTCAACACCAAAACTGCCCCCATCAGATAAACAGCACTTAAAGCTTTCATCTCTGAGAGAGAGGAGAAAATCAAGCTGCTTCAGATCTGAAAACATCCACAGGTGTTTCTGTCCATCCTTCCACTGTGAGAAGACGACTCAGCGCTGTGGGTCTGAAAGGATGTGTAGCTGATCAAGAAGAACCTCACTGAGAAAAGGAGATGGACAGATCAAACAAAGAAGCTGAACGATGGACTGACCACCCCACTGAAAGCTGGTTTTGAATGAGGTGATAAAACAATGTGAAATTTTATTATATGAAATCAATTCTATGACTTTTTCCCCAAATATCTCACAGAGAGAAACTGATTACTCATCAGAAACTAATTCAAAATATTATCCGTCGTGTATTATTTAAGACTGCATTATTGAAATCTGAGATGACTCATACTGTCTCCAGCTGTTTGAGGAGCACGCTTTGTGATTAAACAGTCCTCAGAGCTCAAAGGCACTTTTGAGAGGGAAAAAATGAAATGACCTTTTGACCTTTGGTAATTATAAGGGAAGAAATATGTCATTCTATTTGATTAATGATTCAATAATTTACATAATTTACATTTAATAATTAAGCAATAATTACTCACATTATGTGTGAGTACAGATCATTAAAATATTACATTGGATGCAAGATTAACAAATCGTGTTAATTCACAACTTTCTATACGTCTCAGGTATAAAAAAAGGTTTTGATTTGTAAACTATATGCAGATAGAGCAATTAATGACCTTGAACTATATAAACAGACAAAAACATGTTAATTTTATTTAGTATTCAAAAAATATAAGCAGTTTTTGTAGTGCACTCAAACTTTCATATCCTTCTGCAGTCACTCTTTTTATGAGTGACACCTGTACTAATATTCTGGCTTTAGATAGAGCTTTACTGTCATGCCGTATATCTGTAGTGCTTACTGAATGCATATTAGACTTTTAATACCATATCTGAATGTACATATTATACTGTATGTAATGTATAAATGTGTGTAAATGTGTTTACTGAATCTTTTTATTCACCAAATAAACTAAATGAATTAACTGGTGGTCTACCAGGTCTTCCAGGTGGTTGTTAGGAGTGCCAAGTGTAAACAAGTAACACATCCTCTACAGGAAACACACTTGGGCATATTTTAATACACAATTACTGTTTATTTTGTTGAATTTAACATATGAAACATAAAATGTGGCCTGTGCAAAAGTTAAGGCACACTCAATATTGTATGTATGTATGTATTATTTGATGATTCACAAATATGTTTGTATATATATATATATATATACATATATATATATACACACACACACACACATATCTTCTAAACCGCTTATCCTTCTGGGTCACAGGGGGAGCTGGAGCCTATCCCAGCAGTCATTGGGTGGAAGGCAGGAGACATATGGACAGGTTACATATGTATGTATATACATTTATACATGTGTGTGTGTGTGTGTGTGTGTGTGTGTGTGTGTGTGTGTGTGTGTTTGTATGTATACATATATATATATATATATATATATACACAAAATAAATGCTTGACGAAATGAACACACACACACACACATGTATAAATGTATATACATACATATGTAACCTGTCCATATGTCTCCTGCCTTCCACCCAATGACTGCTGGGATAGGCTCCAGCTCCCCCTGTGACCCAGAAGGATAAGCGGTTTAGAAGATATGTGTGTGTGTATCTCTCTGTGTAGAGAGAGAGAGAGAGAGAGAGAGACAGAGAGAGAGAGAGAGAGAGAGAGACAGAGAGAGAGAGAGATACACAGACAGATAGATATAGATATGATATCTAATACTAACAGAAGGCCTTGTAAGTCAAAGTAATTACAGCTTGTAAGTCAAGCTGTTGGTGGTTGTAGTAACCTCATTTTACCAGCAGAGGGCGATGACAGCGTTCCTCGGGCAGACCTGTATGACTTGGAATACTAAGTCCTGTCAGGATTAGAAGAGAAAAGAATCACATTATAATGGATTTCAGTGAAAGTGTGTAAATGTGTCCAACCTTTGGTCCTCACATTCGGAGAGACACACACAGAAACACCGCAGGGCAGAAGTGAAATCGACTGTTTCTGATTTTTCTGATTTGCATGGTGGTCTATTTACCCTCCATACCCTTACCTCATTACCACACTGGCGTTCAGCCAAAGGTTATGACCTCCTAGTGTGCGTGTCCAGGTTCTGATAGTGGACTGAAGACCGACTGCAGCTTTTTAGGTCAATTATAGTCCTGCATGACTAAGCATGGTCCTCCGTCCTCTGGCCACTCTCACTGCTGAGAGAGGCTACATTTAAGCACTTTTTCACTTTCTGTTCTCTATAAAAGTGGACAAAAGTACATCGCACGGCCAAAATCAGTCACAGTCTTCTTGCAGCCTCCAGAAGAACATTCTTTACATTGTGGAGTCAGAAGTTCAGACTTCAGAATGTAAACTGAATGGAAAATTGTAATTATTACATAATTAAGTCATGAGAGTCATGTAATTATGGGTCATTCTACAGAAACGTCCACTTTTCTATCTGTCCATAGGCGTCACTGGTGTTACTGATCCTCATTGGTGTTACACATAATAAAGGAAACACCAGAGACATTTTTAATGAACAATGCATTTTACAAAATGGCTGCTACAGAGCATCAAACCACATGTTGTCAATCATGGAATATCCACTAAAATATGGAATTTAATCCATTTGGATTCTTTTTTTTCTCAATTACCTCAGAATAAAGTGGGTCACACCAGTGACTTCAGCTAAAAGCTTCATATGAAATCATGAGCTAAATGAGAAAGTCTCTGATAACTGAAAGACACAGTGGACTCACCATGAGCTTTTCTTCATAGATCCTCAGAAAACAGGTAAAAGGAAGTCAAGTGATGTCATCAGTGTGACTTTTATTTCAAAATAAGAGATTTTTTGTTACACAGTAACACCAGTGACACGACTCCTGGGGACAACAACTTTCATTATATATTTTATAATATTTGGCATTTGTTTTCTTTATGTCATTTAAATCATATATTTCATAGTCATGTATAGATTAATGCAGTTAAAATAACAGAAAAACATGTTTTTAACCTCAAAATATGGCCTCACCTTTTACGCATGACTGTGGGGACGAGCTCTTCTGTGGTGCTGGGAATTCTATATAATTGATTTATAAACTAATATTGCTAAATTGAGGCTCAAGAAGGTGTAACTGTTAAAATAACTTTAGTTTTATTTAAATTTATTAATATTTTTATTTTAAAATATTAATAAATTGTAACCCTAACATGTTTTTCAAGGGACACTAGGGACACAAAATGGACAAAAATGGACGTTTCTGTAGAATGACCCTTATATGTTTTCATTTAAAGAGTCCAGCGAAATGAAAGTAATAGCGTGTTAATTCTGTTGTTCCAGGTGAATCTGTAGTGATTACGCTCATTTTTAAGTTTACTCCACTAAGCAGTGTTAAAATACCAATAAATCTGATCTGGAGGCAGTTATAAGGTTGGTCTGGAAGAGGGCTTTTTGGGGGGATCTTAATCTTAACTCAAACTCAGCTGGTCATAATCTTTGACTTGACAAAGGTGGTCTTCACTACAGCTCTAGATTCCTCTGAGGAGGTTGTGGAAAGCCTGTAGAAAAAGTTAAACCCTAAAAAAGTGATCCATGTATTTAAACTCATTTTGAGCTTTGTTTAATCTGTAATTATTATACGGAGTCATCACTTACACTAATTCCAGCACAGAAACCAGCTCATTTTCTAGTATTAAAATCATCCCATTTCATTCTCTGGAATAAAAAATCTTTTCATTCAGATGGTTGAGTGAAGTACATCACTACTCGGGGGTTTATAAGCTGTGTGTCTTGCGCTGTGGAAGCCGTGTGTGTGTAAAGGGTAAAAATCCAGTTAAATGGTGTTGTGCCTGAGGCAGCAGGCTGTTTACAGGAGGACAGGCGTGATGCATGGGCCACGTCCACAGCCTTTTGATAAATTGGTCTGTGCACCCATCCATAATTATTGTGTTTTTTTTCTTTTTCTTGTTATTCACTCTTGGGGGCTTCCATGAGTGTGGAGTCCTACAGCAATGCAGCTCGACAACAGCAAACAACAACCATCTTTGCTTTTTTTACTAGAATTATTGTGCTTGTTGTTATTAATCTCTCCAGCTGTTGTAGCAACAACTTTGTGTCTGGAATCAACACAGGATAAAATCTTGAAACTCCTGATGGAAATTTATCCAATCAGGATTGTTTTCTCTGTGGTATCTCTCTTTTGTGAGGACGGTGGTCGGCTCTTTTACTGCCCTGTTGTGGCTCCACAGCTGAATCAGATTAGTAGGTAAAAATAAAATAATCCTCCTTTACAGTAAAATAAAGCTCTGCTGATCGTTCAACACAGTTTAACAATAAATGGTCTTAAACTCTGGAGTTAATGTAGAACTGCTAATTCACCCTTTAACCCTGACGATCAGCACAGACTGCTGGTCACCATAGCAATGCAGACAACAATCTCGCCTAGCTAATACTAACAAAACAGCAAAGAGCTTTTGCATTTTGCGTTTATAATCACTCCAGCTGGTTTCCTGATACGTTTAATCTGCCATGAGAAACTGTTAAACACAAAAAAGTCACGAGGCTGAAGTCAGTTTCTCATTTGCCAGCTTCTTGTTTCCATTCCACCGTAAATGGTGCAGCAGTTTCATTTTAAGGTCTCATTTTCCAGTTTAAGGTGGAATGGAAAAATTCAAACGAGAAGCTGACTTAAGTTTCGCGACTTCGCGAAAAGTGGCTATAGCTACGCTAAAGCTTAAAGCAGAGCAAAGTAAGGCTGCATTTTCATTTATCTTATATTTTCATACTATATTAGTACATCAGCACATACTGAGACATATTTACAGCCAAGATGGTGAAATGGACATAAAACGTTGTGGCTTGGTTTTTGTTAAAAGGACAACATGGCTCTTCTTAACATTTGGGTTGCCGACCTCTGAGGTAGGACTTAAGGAGCTGCACTGAAGGCCTTACGCATTAGATTA